TCTTCAAACAAGGTTGTTGGTTTAGGCTGGTCTGTAGCAAAATCTTCCAGTAGACAGAAGATCCTTTCAAGGCCACTGCAGGCACTTACAGCAGATACGTATTCAGCCGCAGTTGTAGACTTGGCAGCTTGAGTTTGCTTTTGACTAGTCCAGCTAATTAGTCTGTCTCCATAGAGGAACAGGCAGCCACTGGTTGACCTGTAGTCAGTTTTGTCTTCACCCCAGTAAGCTTCCATATATCCAACCAGTCTTGTGTTGTCACAAGCTGAAATCTTCAGTTTCAGGTCATCTGTTTTTTTGAGATACTTGCCCAGCATCTTTATGGCATTCCAGCCATAATGAACTTACCTTTCTGCATAGTATTTCAACAATTGGCAGTTGATTAGTTGTATGCTTTATGTATTTGTTTTAGATTCATGGACATATGAAATACTTCTGGGTGAGCTTGCCAGCTGCTTGGAGTTCACTGGCGTGCAGCGGGGCTTGCAAAAACCATTTAAAGGGATGTTCCCTTTAAATGGCTTTTGCAAAGACAAGCTGCCTGCCAGTGAATTCCAAAGTGGCCAGCAAGCTCACCCAAAAGTGAGTGAGCTCACTGGCCGCTCATTCACTGACGTGTGATGGGGCTTGCAAAAGCTATTTGAAGGGACGCTCCCTTTAAATGGCTTTTGCAAAGACAAGTCACATGCCAGTGAACTCCGAAGCAGCCGGCAAGCACACCCACTTTCAGGAATCCCATCAACAGCCTGGTCACAGCATTTTGCACCAGCTGCAGCTTCTGGATTTGAGACAAGGGCAGCCCCATGTAGTAGTCCAATCTCGAGGTGACCAAGCATGCACCCCTTAACAGGAACTTGAAAGCGAGGAAAATGAGAATGTGGAAAAGCCTGAAGTTACAGAGCTATAGCTGAAGTAATTAATATCTGTAAGAGGTAGGAATTTGTGATATCATTGTTTCTGAACTTCAATTATTGTAGATTAAAATAATTTCTAAGAATCTTGAAGAAATTTTAGCCTCTCTTTATTTCTTTTTATTAATCTTTCCATTTTTTTTAGAAGTTTCCTCTTCCAAAATTAAATGTAGATGAATGGGACTTTTCTGTAACTGTCTAGTTACATAACAAGTAAACTTAGTAACGCTGTGGTCACTGTTCTGTACAAATCCAAGGATGCTTACATTTCTCAGACCAGGTCTTGAACACTACTCTGGACCAACCCCAGGGTGGCATCTCTTGTAGTCAGTTCCTTGACTAAGAGTGCCAGGAGGTAAATGTAGTATTTGTACCAGTCCAGTGTTTTTTGCTGAGCAGCCAGAGATTCCAGATGTTGTACAGCATACCCCTTCCCCTACTACAATGGTAATGCTTCTTATGTATGGATCATTGTCCCTTACAAAATATTAATAGATTGCAGAGGAGCAGTAATCTTTTTCTCATTCCCAGCCTCATGGGTCAATTTCCTTCCATGCTCCTTCCAATCAGGGGTTAACTCAAGACAAATGGTATTTCCTTATCTAATTATCAAGTTGTCCAGATGTTTTCAATGTTCTCCAGGCTGTTTAGATAGATTAAGTGACATCATCATACTAGTTAAAAGTTTGTAAACACCAGGCACAGAAATGACAGCTCCAGGAGCTGGTTTGCAAGAATCAGGCAGGATTCCATAAACTGTGAAGCCAGAGTACTAAAAACAGCTGTCCTTAATCTGGCATGGCCATCTGCCCTGCAGGACCAGTTTGGCCACTGGGATACAGCCTGAGTCTGTATACCTTAAGGACGATCTCTTGAAAATGACAGAGCTGCTTGCTTATGATCTGCATCATGATGAGCCATCAGTTCTTCAAGACATGCACAACATTGTCTTTTCCAGATGGGAGCAGTTATGCTCTTCATGTAACCAGCAGTGCCTTTTCAGTCTTGACAAAATGGTCTCCTCCGAGGATGCCCCATGTGGCCTCCTTTCAGTGCTGGAATGCCTGCTTTGTATCTGGTTGTCGTGTTCCTTTCCCTGTATAACCTTCTGAGCTTTGCAGACTGCATTAGAGTCAGAGTGTGAAGTTGGGCCAGCCATGGTACTGCAACCAGCTTCAAGCACTGGGAGCCTCAACAGTGACCCCTCCTAACCTTGCCCAGTGAATGCCGCCCCCATAGAGAGAGGGAGGACATAGGCATGCTGCTCCCCACAGCTGTGTCACTGGGCAGCCTGCTCTTAGCTGCTGTTGGCACTTGCCCACCTGCCCACCTGCCAAGGCCAACAGGTGAGTGAGCAATTGACAGCCGTAACCTTACCCCCTCTGACTTTTGATGAGAAGGAAGGATTACTGCTGCCAAAGGAGGTCGGTTATCATGGCATTGGCCTTACCCCCTCTGACTTTTGATGAGAAGGGATTACTGCTGCCAAAGGAGGTTGGTTATCATGGCATTGCCAGGGCAGGGACTGGAGGGGATAATCCTGGTGGCAGCGAAAAGCAGCCGGTCGTGGCAGAGAGTCCCGCACTCTTTTGGGAGGCCTTCCCCGTTGTTGGCTGAGCATTGGTAGAAAGCTGTAGCGTAATTTCCCCCAAAACCTGGCGTGAGATGCCAGCTGTGGACCTCTAGGTCTGGTGACATGTGAAAGTGCCTCTTCTTTTGAATGGCAGATGAGGATCCTTTCTCCAGAAGCTGACTATCCTGGCAGGCTGTGTGTATCCCCCATCTTAGATCTAGATCTTCCCTCACAGCAAAGCAACAATAAAATTGCACCACCGCTATATTCAAGTTGGCTGAACTTTGTTCCCTAGTCCTCCTAGGGCATCTGGATGTTTGTGTGAGAAGTTCTTGCTAAGGAAGAAAAGTCTCCTAGGCTCTGTTGTTGTTTCCACAAAAACATGGCCATCCTTTTTGTCATGTCAGGTGGCCTGTGCCACGGGATCAGAGGCCAAGGACAGACCCACCTGCCCATGCCAGGCTCATTACAGTACTGATGGATAGGATCTGTCAGGTGGGAACAGAACACATGCTCCAATGAGTAGGCACGGGTTTTATGTGAACAGTGATGGTAACACTTGGAGAGCATTTGTAAATAATTTCCTGGTTTAAAACATTTTGTCCTTTTGGGCCATTTCTCATTTCCTCTGATTGTTCTCCTGCTGTTTCCACCAAGGAGCTCCCTCTGAGAAAATGCCTCGCTTATCAGGTGATGCCATTGTATGTCATTATATAAGAACATCAGAAGAGCCCTGCTGGATGAGATGAAAGGTCTGTCTAGACCAGCATCCTGTTTGCCATGGTGGCCAGCCAGGTGCTTTAGGAAACATGCATGCAGGGCAAGAAGGCAATATACCTCCCCTGTTGCTACCACCTAGCAAATGATAGCCTCGATGAATTGGGTCAGTCACCTTAATTATTCTCGTTTTGCCTTTCTGCACTTTTTCCAGTGCTACAGTATACTTTTTGAGATGCAGCAGCTAGAACCAGTATGCCATTTTTGCAAGAGTATTACAATATCAGTTGCTTTTATGTTTCAGTCTCTTTCCTTATGCTCCCAAGTACAGAATTTGCCTTTTAAAAAAATCGCTGCTGGACACGGAGTTGTCAGAATAGCCCTTTGTGCGACAGGAAATTTTCTGGTGGTTAATGCCAGAGACACTGTTCCCTTGGGTGGGTCCAAGACTACATGACAGAAATATGCAATCTATCAGTAAAATCTGATAGGGTTCCAGAGGAGATCTGGGAAGTTACAGGCTGGTCAGTCCAACGTCGATGCTGGGTAAGTTGGTGGAGCCCGTTATTAAAGATAGAATTAGTAGGCACATTAACGAACAAAAGCTATCGAGAAAGAATCAGCATGGATTTTGTAAGGGAAGATTTTGTCTCACTAACCTTTTAGAGTTCTTTGAGGAGGTGAACAAGCATGTGGACAAGTGTGACCCAATAGATGTTGTTTACCTAGACTTTCAGAAAGCTTTTGATAAAGTTCCTGATCAAAGGCTCCTAAGTAAACTCAGCCATCATGGGATGAGGACAAGTCTTGTGGGTTAAAAACTTGGAGTCATGGTAGATAATTCACTGAAAATGTTAATTCAGTGAGCGATTGCAATAAAAAAGGCAAATGGTACTCTGGGGATCATTAGGAAGGGAACTGAAAACAAATCAGCCAGTATTCCCCTGTATAAATCTACGGTGCTGCCTCAGTTGGAATACTGTGTACAGTTCAGGTCTTTACACCTCAAAAAAGGTATTATAGCATTGGAAAAGGTGCAAAAATGGCAACTAAAATAATCAAGGAGATGGAACACTTTCCCTGTGAGAAAAGGTTAAAGAGGTTAGGGCTGTTTAACTTGGAGAAACGATGACTGAGGCCTGACATGATGGAGGTTTACAAAAATTATGCATGGGATAGAGCAAGTAGAGAAAGAAGTACTTTTCTCCCTTTCTCACTATACAGGAACTCGTGGGCACTCAATGAAATTAATGAACAGTAGGTTTAGAACAGATCAAAGGAAGTATTCTTCACTCAAAGAGTAATTAACATGTGGAATTCACTGCCGTGAATCCTCACTACAAGCACAGAGAGCTTCAAGAGAGGATTTGATAAACATATGGAGTAGAGGTCCATCAGTGGCTATTAGCCACAAGGTATAGATGGACCGCAAGGACTGGGGCAGTGATGCTTTGTTTTCTTGGTGCTTGGGGGGGGGGGACATTGGGAGGGCTTCTGGAGTTCCGGCCCCACTTGTGGACCTCCTGATGACACCTGGGTTTTGGCCACTCTGTGACACAGAGTGTTGAACTGTATGGACCATTGGCCTGATGCAGCACAGATTCTCTTATGTTCTCACATCTAGTGGCTCAAGGTAGGCACATGGCCACTGAATAAAAGGAACCGGGTTTATTTCAGCTTTGCATCTGTGGAAACAGTCACCCATGAATGACCTACTTGTGTATCATTTGAATGAAAACATTACCTGTTCCTATTCTTTAGTACGTTTTCTTTTAAATTCTCCTTCTTGTGTCCAACAGTAATATCTTGCAACGTGGAGGCTCAGCTGTAGATGCTGCCATTGGTGCCTTGATCTGCACCTCTGTCCTGAACCCCCAGAGCATGGGATTAGGGGGAGGTGCCATCTTTACCATCTATAATGCATCTACAGGTAAGGTCAGCCCAGTCTCTTCTGTGCATGAGATGCTCAGCAAATAAGTGGTAAAGGTTGCTGTCAAAAGACCAAAAGATTTTTAGTTTGTATTGTTTCAGTTGTTGTCTCCAGTACCTTTTGCATCTGTTTCAGGAAAGCAATACACTGCTGACTCTGCCAGCATGCCCAGAACCTTGTTTTCTGTCTGTCTCTATTGTTATTTTTTTTTGTACCAGACTAATGGAGTATGGTGGAGCTTGAAAACTCAATTTTGCAGGTCTATAATTTTATTTGGTGTTGATTAAAAGGTATTGCATAACTGTTGCTTCCCACAGTAAAGCGATATGATAGTTGTAATTCTGATATTTGTGGTCCATACAAATGTAATGTATTTCTTGATAACAACGTGTATGAGGAGAAAGGTAAACTGCAGCATGTCTGGCTAAAACTCAGAGAAATCCGTCAGGCCACCCACAGTGTCTGTCTCCTTCTTCAGCAGGGAGCCTGGACTTCAGGAGTCGGAGGGGTATTGCATGCAAATTCCCAAAGATCTCTGAGCAAACTGCCCCCCCCCCACCACATAATTTTCCCAACAGAAATCACTACCACCACCCTTGGAGCTGCTTGAAGCCGGGGGTGGAGGAATCACACCATACTGAGTACAAGATAAGAGGCTGGGTTGAATCTTCTTGACATTGACCCCTTTGTATTTCCAGGAAAGGTTGAGGTGATTAATGCTCGTGAGAAAGCCCCACAAGCCATTTCAAGAGACTTACTGGATCAGTGTCAACCCACTTTCCTGCCAGGTAACAATGGGGTACTTTCCTTTATAGAAATGGGGGGGGGGGTTGGTGGGAAAGGAGGCCTCACTGCTCACTAGACAAGTGTCTAACGTCTCCCTGGAAACTACTAATCACTGGCAGACAGAAAACTGAACAGAAGTCCAGTGACACCTTAAAGCCTGACAACATTTATTCCAGTGTGAGCTTTGGTGAGTCAGAGCTCATCTCCTCAGACGCAATGGGAAAAAAGGAAATAATTTTTCTATTGTTACATGGTAAATTACAAAAGGAGGGGGAAAAGATGGAGGAACTGAGTAAAGTGGGGCCTGACATCATTAATCAGGTGTGAATCTCTGTATTGGGGACTTGAACCTCTAGGGTAGGAATGACCAGAGGTGAAAGGTTCCAGCCTCTCTAACATGTTGGTGAAGATAAGCGGAAAGTGTAATCAAGTACGGTAAATAAACTAATTAAGGAAGAGGCAGTTTGAATCATGAAGCAGTAAAGGGTTATAGTGTGATGCAACACTTATTTATTGATTTACGAGATTTCTAGCCACCTCCCAGCAAGATCAGGGCCACCTGTTAATAACAATCTATTAAAGTTTCTAAAAAGAGGCCCTGTTCTTAATGTATTGTATCACGCCATAACCCTTTACTGATGCTGGTGAATTCTCTCATGCTTCAAACTGCCTCTTGCTTACTTGGGTTGTTGTTAGTCTTAAATGTTGTTAGTCTTTTCCTATGTTTGGAGTTCTGCTTTGTTTTGCTATGATAGACAAACACAAGTACTCCACTGGAATCAAGACAGAAAACTGTCCAGGCTAATGTGCTCAGATAGGAGTGTTCTTTCAGTCACTGGTGTTACATGGCCTAAACAAGCTATAATTTTCTGTGTATGGGTAGAAGTTCAGCCACAGAACAGTGCTCTTTTTCTTCTTTTAAGTGAAAGAGGCACAACCGCCCCATTAACCAGAAATGCCTTTTCTGCAGACTACAAGATCTGATTCCAAACTTCTAGCCACAGAGGTCTAGATCCTCACTACTTTTGAATAGCAACTAGGATTGTTGGATTTCCTTAGATGCTGGTATAGAGCAAAGTTTGTGTCCAGTGGCACCTTTAAGGCCAACAAAGTTTTATTCAAGGTATAAGCTTTTGTCTGCAAGTATCTGAAGAAGTGTGTTTGCTTGCACATGAAAGCTTATACCTTGTGTGAAGAAATGCATTTTTTTCTTTGGAGGTTTGAAATGAGCAAAACCTCCACTCTGAGTTTTAAAAGTTTTTTTTTCTTCTAGGCAGAGCGCAAGACAGGAGGGGGGAGATCAGTCAATGGCTTTCCAGGCTCACCTCAGCTACCACTTAAGAAATGCTAGTAGATCTAGCAGGAGAGATAATGGGTGGGACAAGTTCTACCCCCTTCTCCAAGCAGGGAACAGAGATGTGGAGGACTTTGGACTAGAAAAGCTCCAGGACGAAGCTCCAGGAGATGCTTCTCTCCCCTGGCCTGACTCGGTCAGTGGATGGGGAAAAAAGAAGTGATAAAACTCAGGGGACCAAGGAAGAAGCCTTCTTTTCCTTTGGTGGTGGATCCATGAGAGGAGACATAAGTCTTAACTGAGAAAGGCAGTCATTGAACATGTGCTCACTTGAAGAGCTGGGAGAAAGCTGCAAGGAAATGGTAATGGTGTAGAGATTTGTAACTTCCTAAACTTTAGGAGCCAATCCAATATTTTAACAGCTGATAGGGCATGTATAGAGAAAGGGACAGAGGATTTGCATTTTACTCATTTCTTTTGAAACCTTGCTCAGTCTGGTGCTGTGCTAAAAGTAAGCTTGTGAACATTTTCTTTTTAGTAAATACTTTATAACTGGTTCTTTGTGCTGGCAGTGGTTCTTTGTGCCACATAGACCTCCATTGTCTTGGACACACTTCCACCAGGAGGAAGGAAGGCAGTTGGCAAATGGCTATTCCCTCAAGGATGCACAAGGCAGTAAACTTTAAACTTTCCCCATGGTGACCAGGCATTAAGCAGCAGGAGACACAGAGGTGAGGCCTTGGATCTTGGAAGGGAAGCTGGGAGTCCTGACCCTCCCAGTGGGCAGTTCCTTACAGAGGTCAGGTGGTGGTGGCAAGTTACCCAAAAGAGAGAAAGAAAAGCCTCTCCAGATGTTGGGAAAACCTTGGAAGGCAGGGTGAAACAGGATCTGCAGGTCATAGCAGTCCCGTTCCACCACATCTTGAATAAGACTTTGGTAGTCTTAAATGTGATACTGGACTCAAACTTTGTTCTGCTGCTTCAGACCAACATGGCTACCCACCCGAATCTGTCTGCTGGCATAAGGGTAGGGGTCCCCAACATACCCAGTAACTGTTTTAGAAAGTGGGTTGGGCGTGGGGGGTTCTTGCCTAGCAGAGCTTCTGATTGGTCACTCAAGATCAGTTTGGCTGCACAGATTAAAATAATGTTGTTTCAGTTGCAGCTGCCACCATGGTATTGGCTTTATTCTCTGTCAGTCCTGTTTCCCAATGTGTTTTTAAATTAACCCTCTTGTTTCCTTCACTTGGGTTTCCTTCCATATGGCCAGCTCCACCTCCTGCAGCAGCCATTTTGTAGTTGTGCCCGCCACCATGTGTCAGAATTCCAAAGGTGCCCAGAGGCTCAAAACGTTTGGGATCCCTGGGTTAGGAGATCATCCATAAGAACCAGAGAGTTGTCTGAATGTATTTAACAGTATATGGGCATGTTATCTCTTAAGTTTAGGCTGTAGGAAACTACAGCAATATGGCTGATGATATAATATTAAATATGCATGTGGCAGGAGCACAATGGATTGCAGTTCCTGGGGAACTTCGTGGGTACGAAGAAGCTCACAAGCGCTATGGCAAATTGCCGTGGGAGACACTGTTTACACCCACTATCAAGCTCCTTGAGTCTGGAATCAAGATACCAAGGATTTTGAGCCTATTTCTCATGAACCCAATCTTACAGGGACCTTTGAAAAACTCTTCTTTAGGGTAAGATAAACCCATTAAAAATATCCACATAGATGGTGCCACCAGGATGGAAATGTCCTGTTTGGATCTTTCATTACTAGGGCTTTGGGAATGGCAATAATTCAGACATCTGATTCCCTGATGGCAACTGTCTTTGCTTGATGTCCCTCAACTAGGAGATTTAGTATAATAAGCAATTGGCAGCCCAGGGACTCAACCTGGCATGGCTCTTGATCCCAGTTCACAATCCCTTCATACTCATTTCACTCAAAGTTCCCAACCATGTGTGATGCTGGGGATCCATGATCACAGCCCAACTGTGCACTTAACTGCAAAAAGCAGTCATGGTAATGAGAAATCTGAATTGGTGCTGCCACAATAGGGAAGGTTGTGGTGGGCATAGTCCAGCTGGAAATGTTCCTCCTCTAGACTGCTTTGAGCCCCAAGAAGGAAAAAAAGGACAGGCACAGAGAAAAAGAAAGCACAGTGCAGTATCTTCTTTTTTCCCCTTTAGTCACAAAAGCCCAATCTGCATTTAGCATTTGCTCAGTTGTTTTACCAAACCCACATTGGAACAGAAAAAGATGCGGTTCAAAACCACATTCATCTACCTCGGACCAACACTGTACTGACTGCAGAGTCACCCCCCCAATGGCCATAAAACAGCCATTAATCTATGCAGACAGCCACAATAAAACCAGAGATCAAACAAAGTCTTTTTCTCCATAGACTGAAGAAGAAAAAGTCCAAACGACGAGAAGGGTTGGGGGGGGGGCAGCGGCCCGAAGGCCTGAGGCAATTTTACCTCAGACGACAAAAAACAAAAACTCTCCTTTTTAAAAAAAATGACAAGCAAAAAGGAAAACAGAAGAGAAACTGAGAGAAAAAATGAGAGCTGATCACTAAAAGTGACCAAAAACAGCGATCCGGCCAGACCTCTCGAAGACAGGTCTGCTCAGCGCGGCGGTAAGGAAAGAACTGGCGGGATGTCCGTGCCTGCCCTTCTGGGCATGCTCACTGGGGCTCCTGAGCATGCTCAGTTGGGCCAGGCACGAAAATCCTTTTAAGAGAGCTTGCTACGGCACCGGCAGATCCAGCGCAGGCGCACTAGATCCCATTGGTGTGAATGCACAGATGACCACTCGAAGATCACCAGTTACTGGTAAGCAACCTGTTTTTTTGCATGCAGAAGGTCCCAGGTTCAGGTTCAATCCCTTCTTTTCTCTTCAAGAGGGCTTTGGGTAGCTATGGGCCTAAATAACCAGGAGAGGGGGCACAGGGGGTACATGGTAGGTGAAAATTAAAATGTTCCTTTTCCCAGAAGCACAGACCCAATCTGTATTGCTCCCACCCATATCTGCGGATATGCTCACAGACATCTAGCATTGCATTTTTTTTGCTCTAAGTTCTTTGCTTGTGTCTTCAGAGCGTGTGGCTCTTACCATACTGATCCTTAGTTCCAGTCCTCATTCAGTGCACGATATTAATCCTGTTAAAAATTAGCTGTGGCCCTCTGCAGAGAGAATACAAATGCATGCAGGACACAATTGGGGTAGTGCCATGACTCATTGGTAGACTCTTGATCTTCTTCGTGGTCTCTGTGCTTCACACCAATGGGATCTAGTGCGCCTGTGCTGGATCTGCCGGTGCCGTAGGAAGCTCTCTTAAAAGGATTTTCATGCCTGGCCCAACTGAGCATGCTCAGGAGCCCCAGTGAGCATGGCGTAAGGCATTTTTTATATGTACATAATTCAGTGAAAGTTGATCACCCCTGGTGCCACTGAACCAAACTGTAAGCCCTTGACTTTGAAGAGGTTTTTAGCTCCAATTACATTGCAACTGTACTGCAACTACATTGTCCCCACCAGAGTGATGTGAAACGGGGGTGGGGGGGGGGGGCAGTCAAATCGGAGCAGAAGTGGTTAAGTTTTCCTTGGTTTCAGGCTCTGGGAGGACCTCACCCCTTCCTGTCGCAGTGAATTCCAAGCTACAAATATGCAAGTCTGCTAAGCCATCCTTGTTGCAGATTCTGCTGCTGTTAGGGTCCGGAATGGGAAGCTGATGGGCAATGAGCATCTTCTCTCTTTCAGCAAACTGTTTTTTAATGAAGGTAATATCCTGCAAGAAGGACAGACCCTTCAGTGGCCAGCCCTAATAGAAACCCTGAAAGCAGTGGCAAAAAATGGAGCCAACGAATTTTATACAGGGAAGACAGCAGAGAAGTTGGTGGAAGATGTGAAAAAGGAAGGTAGGCAACTTAGATGTTTCCTCACAAGCTGTGTTGCTTTTCTTAAGTTTTGGCCCCTGGCTCTTCCTTCCTCTTTGATTCTGTCTCCTCACCCCAAGGCTCAAATCGGCAAAATCTTTCACAATGAGTGTGGGAATGCACATTCCTCCACCTCATTGCTATTCGGCACACAGGTAAGACTGAGTCACATCTGCCCTGAATCTTCTTGAGAAAGACTTCTTGAGAAATGATGGCGAGCATGAAGCTATTCTAATTGGCAGAGATCATTATTTAACATAGAATTATGAAACACATAGAAGAAAAGGCCTTGCTGAAGAAGAGTCAGCATGGTTTCTGCAAAATTTTCTGTAAATATATAGGTGGGGCAATCCAATAGATACTTTATAGATACAAACCAATAGATAGATAATTATATACTTGGAATTCCTATACCATTTTGTCAGAGCTGCCCACCAGAGCTCCCCGAACAGACTTAGAGGTCAAGGTATAAGAGGATGAGTTGTGTAACTGTGTAAACAATAGAGAGCATAGCGTAAGAGTAAATGGGAAATGTTTACAGTAAAGGGACATAAGCGGTGGGATTCTGCAGGATTTTATGCTATTTATAAATTATCTAGAGTTAGAGATGACCAGTGTGGTAGCTGTGTTCATGGATAGTACTCAGTTTTTCAGGATGGTGAACACCTAAGCAGTTTATGAAGAGCTGTAAAAGGATCTCCCCAAAATGGGAGAAAGTACAGTGTCATGGAAAATTAGGTTCTCAGTAAGTTTGCCAGCTCATGGCTAGTGCTCAGAAGGCGTTTGGGGGGCAGGGACATGGGGCAGTTACCATAGAATTTTCAGTGAATGCTGGAGTGTTGCGTTGATAGCATGATGTCACTTCCAGGTTTGCTCCTGGAAATGACATCATGCTGTCAAGGCATCTACCATTTTTGACCCATAGAAGTGGGGGAGGGGGGTACTATTCAGACAGAGGATGCAGTGTAGGGGAATATTTAACCCTTACCTCAATAGGGTAAATAGCCAGAGGTGTATAACTGAGATAGTGGCAGGGGAAAGTGTTCCAGTATTAACATGCTTGCTGTTTCATGACTTTTCCCCCTCTTATCTCACCTACCAGGTGGCACTTTGACATTGGATGATCTTAGGGATTATCAGGCTGAAGTTGTGAAACCCTTGAATATTTCACTGGGTGAATACACCGTGTATTCTGCCCCTCGACCAGCTGCAGGGCCCATTCTCTTCTTCATCCTTAATACCCTGAAAGGTAAATGGGTGAAATTGGAGCTGTCTGGCCCTTTCTTGTGCTGCTGTTTGGGCAGAAAGAGATACTCTGCCCAGCATATGATGATGCTCAGGCATTCTAGGTCTCTGGACTGGGGAATTGATTAGAGATTATAAAAATTATAGTCTGTTCATTAGAGAAACCACTTGTGCTTTAGAATTTGGTGTTTAGTGACATTTGCCTCCTGACTTTTCTTTTCTAAAACTCATCTTCCATTTATTACTAATTGGTGAATCTGAATTGTATAAATCCGTTTAGATTTGCAGCATGGGCCAATTTAGCATTCATCTTTGCTTCTGTTGGCTAAGACTTGCACAGAAGTGTATAGCAAGCATCATAACAATAAATAGTAAATGAATGCTTTGGACATGTGAACATTAACAGGAGGGGGCATCATGTGAAGTCTCAAAAGGAAGCAAAAGGCAAAGGAACGGCTAGTTGCTGCTTTCCACCTAAAGGACACAGGAGGAGTATGGTCCCAAAGACAAGCAGTAATAGGATAAGTCTCAAGACTGTTTTGGATCTTCCAGACACTTTTAAAAACACAAATTATTAAACACAGAGGTATCTGCAGTTCCCACAATGTTATATTTGGGTGGCCAAAATGGACTTGTAAGAACAGTTTTCTACAGCTAGGCTCTGTGTTTGTGTACATGTCAGTTTGTGTTTACTGGAAGGAAAGGATTTTGTTTTGGTTGCTGTGGCTGCTGTTTTTAAAAATGATGCCATGAAGAAGAATTGGATGAATTGTTTCTTTAGAAGTGTGTCCTAACATGTGTTGAGGTACTGTTAGAGAATTTACATGCTCAGCTTGTTTTATACTGGGTTGCAGATGTATTTATTTCATTTCTATGAAACAACTTTCCACTCCATCCAAAGATGCCCAAGGCAGCATATTAGTAACAATCAGATAAAACAGTATTTGGGGAGGGGGAAATCCTAAAACCAAATACACAGGAATAAAAACAGCCAGAGCCATCCCTCTTCAAAGCCCTTCTGGAAGAGCAAAGTGTTGTAGTTCGGTTAGACCTGACCAGCTAAAAGAGTGCCAATCTCATCTCCTGGGGAAGGGAGTTAGATAGTGTGGGGGTTAGAGGCAGAACAAGCTCTTCCACAAGTCCCAGCCAACCCAACCTCAGCACCAAGGGACCAGTGTTCCCTCTAAACTCAGTTTTTTAGCCTCCGGCTCACACATTTTTATCTTAGCTCAGGAAGAATGGCTCCAGAGCAAACTAATTTATGCAGCAGCTAAATCGCTCATTCACAGTTTTAATGCCAGTAGCTCACAAAGTTGAATTTTTGCTCACAAGACTCCACAGCTTAGAGGGAGCATTGCAAGCGTCATAATTTCACTCCCAAGTAACCCACTCCCATGGGAGACATAATTTCACACCCAGGGACTATCATTCCAGATCTAGAGCATTCATTCCACTCCCAGGGCCATCATTCAACTCACAGGGACCATCATTCACCATCACCTCTAGGTGGCCATCCAATTCCAGGAACAATCAGCTCAGCTCAGAGCACACATTCACCTCCCAGGGATACTAATTCCAGGTCTGGGGCACTCATGAAGAAGAGACTGGATTTATACCCTGCCTTTCACTCGGAGTCTCAGAGTGACTTACAAACTCCTTTCTCTTCCCCTCCGAACAACAGACACCCTGTGAGGTAGGTGGGGCTGAGAGAGTTCTTTCAAGAACAGTTCTGAAAGAACTTGTAACTAACCCAAGATCACACCAGCAGCTGCAAGTGGAGGAGCGGGGAATCAAGCCTGGTTCTCCCAGATTACAGTCCACACACTTAACCACTACACCAAACTGGCTCTCGCACCAAAATGGCTCTCATGCTATTCCTAGAGACATCATTCTACTCCCAGATATAGATATCCCACTCTTGGGGCTGTCATTCCATTCTGCTATGTCACGTGATTCATTCCTTGTTTACAGTATTTCACTGTGTTTCAAGCAAGCCCACTGATGTCTAGTGCCATTCATGGCTCTCATGATGTCCTATGAGCCTTCAGATGGCTTCCAATGTGCAGTTGTTTTAGTATACCTCCTTTATGGCAGCTGTGCTGGACTGAGCATCAACAAGATGCACATGGCTTTTCATCTGGAAGACACAGGTGAAACTAACGGTATGGGAATAAGTGTTTTTTGGGTGATTGGAACAAACTTAAGGGTTTTTTCCCCCTGGATCTTCCAGATAGTTCTTGTAAATAGTTCCTAATTAAGCACAGAGGTGCTTAGGGTGTCTGCTGCTTCCTCAAGACCGTAACTGCAGCCCCTTTTACAAGAAAACTACCATCATCCTCTCCCACCATAACAGGCAAGGAATTTCTGCCCATCAAGTGTGCTTTGTTGATTAACACTTGCAGGGAGAAAAGAGTTTGTGAGATGTTGCCATGGAGTAAGGGGCAGGGTACACATATGTGCATATTCACAAGTACATGCCTGACTCCGGTATAAGATCTTTCAGTCTGAGAAAACACAAGTGAGTTTGGAAGAGATATTAAGGGAATTAAGTGGAGGCACTTATAAATATAGCAAGTTACCTTTTATTTGCTACAGAGGATAGGAAACAGAAACAGAAAACCATTCAAAAGGCAAGTAATGAAATTATTAACTGTAGAAACAGCAAAATTACCCACTGATTATGGGTTTTCTGTTGTGGAAACTTATGCTATACTCATCAGTACACATACATTTCATCAGCATGGCAAATGGTGACTCCCTGTGACCATTTCAGGTTGGGAAGACTGCATGGGAGGGAGGCTTAAACCCCCTTCATTGTGCTGTTGCCCAAATCCGAATTGTGTACCAGGGAATTAAGTTCCAGGCGTGGAACTCTCAGCACGTGTCTGTCAGTAGGACCTGTGGCAGATCTGTCAGAGACGCAAGGACTTTGCAGGGTGTGATTTGACCATCAATTTCTCCCTGAGGCTCAAACTAGACGTTACGCAGGTGCTCCTCCTGACTCACTGAAAAACAGGCTGTTTGCCTGAGAAAAGGACAAACAGCCCCTCTGAGACCACTTCTGCTGACAAAACATGTTGCGGGATGGAAACCAGAATGGCCTCCTCCCCCATGACAGTGCTCCAGAGTCCAATGGAGCACTGTTAAGGTAAGATAGTCCTGTTCTTCTATGTAAAGGGTACCCTTCTTCCAACTCAAGTAAGATACAGTGTCTAGTTTTGAGCCTCAGATTCTTGATGTTCTACCAGTCGTGGATTGGGGGTTTCCCCCCCCCCCCATGTCTTATTGAAATTGGAGTGACCTCATACTTGATGCTAGATACATTACTGACCACTTTCGGTCTTTTCTCTACCCACCCCTAGAGTTCTTCCTGCTTTTCTCTGCACTTAAACATCTTGATAGTGCTGCTGCCAGTCCATGACATCCATCAGGAGATAATCAATTCTTTTAGAAGGTGACCCCACTTTCTCTTGTTCTCTCCTGTACTGTCCTGCATTGTTAGTTCACCTGGCCTTGCTTTTCAGCATTTCATTCTAGTTTTTGTTTGGAGGTCTCAGAGCATCTTCAGAGCACTATTTCTGGCCACTCGGCACTCACCACCGGTTGTTGCTGCTTTTTCAGGGTTCAACTTCACCAAGGCAACCATGAACACACCCCGTGAGAAGGCGGAGGCTTACCACTATATTGCAGAGACTCTGAAGTTTGCCAATGGCCAGAAAACAAAAGTGGAAGATCCTGCATTTTCCTCTATAAAGGAGGTGGGCAAAGCTTGCTTACAACTATACGGCTGTGAGCTTAGCATTTTGGAGGTTGCTTGATTGAGAACCCACTCTGTTTTTAGGATGTTATTAGGGAGCTGATATCGGATTCCTTTGCTAACCGTGTCAGGGCGCAAATCGACGAGAGAGGGGACCATGCTGCCACCCATTACAACCTCACCCAGGCGGGAACAGTGGGTTTTGGCACCTCTCATGTTTCTGTCCTTGCTGAAGATGGCAGCGCCGTTTCAGTCACCAGCACCATCAACCACCCGTAAGTGGGGAGCAGCTAAGTGCTAGACAAGACAAGATGCTGGAGATTCCTAGTCAAGTTTTCTGTCTCTTCAGATTTCTTTTAACTGCAGCCGTGGAGTTGGGGGCAGGGAGCAAGACAGATGGGGCTGTTGTGCTAGGAAGGGAGGGTGTTTGCCTTCTCCCTTCATACCATTTTGCTGAGGTAGCCCTCCTCTCAGTTCCTGTGTGACTCAATTTCCCTTACTAGGGCAAGTATCAGCTTCTAGGAGGGAAATTTACATCAAGGTAAGTGGTGCTGGAGGGACAAGGTTACCCTCTCCCTCCCTGAGTGCTAGTGCCTCAGTCCCCACCCCCCACCCCACACACATATTGGCTGCTTATCAAATGATATTTTCAAGAGTTGAGAGATCTGGCCAAGAATCTCCAACCTCTCTGCTCGCTTGCTTCTGTGACACGATAGCATAAACGAAGATTATGAAAACAGCTTTACATAGATTGTTACACAAGGCAAAAAGGGTTCAGACTGTTCCGTTGTGGCAGTGGCCTGTTTCTGACAAAAAGCCTTCCAGGGAGCTGACCCCATCCAGGGTACCTTGGCAACTGCCATCTCGCTGACTGAGGGTTCTGGCCTGTGGCTGTCTAGCACTTACAAAGCATTGACACCTGTCCCTGTTCAGCTCTGAATTCATGGCTCTGTGGATGTTAGCAACAAAGCAGCCTGCAGAGGGAAAGGCGTGGGAAGTGGGGTAGAGTTGCAGAATGGGCAGCCTGGACCACTGTTCCCTCTAGGCTGAGTTAGTGTGAGCTAGCTCACAGTTTTTTAGCCTCCGGCTCACACGTTTTTGCCTTAGCTCAGGAAGGAGGGCTCCAGAGCAAACTAATGTATGCAGTCGCCAAATCTCTCGCTCACAACTTTAATGCCAGTAGCTCACAAAGGAGAATTTTTGCTCACAAGACTCCACAGCTTAGAGGGAACATTGGCCTGGACAGTGCTGAGAGAAAGAGTCAAGTTGTGGAGTTAAAGTAAGCATAGATAACGTCCCCATCTTGACCAAGCCTCACAATTCCTGAGTCTTCTTGGGTCTTCCAGAGCATGTCAGGTTGACAAGACTGGGGCAGAGAGGACTTTGTTAAATGCAGTTAGGCCCTGTTGAGAAAGAGAACTTTGAATAGACAAATGGCAGAGAGAGAGAGAGAGAGAGAGAGAGGATTAAGATGCCCCTTTTCCTCCCCCCTTGGCCTCTGCTTTCAATCTGAGGACCACACGGCTGCTTTTCACTTTAAAAAAAATATTGGGAAGAAGAACCATGGGACTGCCTATCTGATGCCCCCACTTTAAAAGCCCACTTGTTTGAATGTTAGCGTGCTCTTTGCCTCTCTTTCAATGGAGTTTGATCAATGCTGGTGTACGGTGTTGGTGATCCTGTTAGTTATCCAGTTGATGTTTTGTTGTAGTAGAACAGTGCCTCCTGCTGATGCCCTTGGATCTGTGCTTATTCTCTCTCTCACACACACACATACTTAGGTTTGGCTCAATGGTGTATTCTCAGAGCACCGGGATCCTTTTAAACAATGAGCTTGCTGACTTCTGCATGAAGCGGTTGAACAAAGAGATCTCTCCAGGTGAGCTCCATCTCCTTTTCTCTCAAGGAATTCCCACTCTGAGGGGATGATCAGCCATCCTTGTGGATCTGAACTTCTACGTTAGAACACTAAACACTCTGGGAATCTTCTTCTTCTGATTTACTAGTCTGGGGCAGCATGCTGCACAAATGGGAATCATTTTGCAGTCTTTCTCACCAAGGAGAAGGGCTCCAAACATACTTTTAAAGATTGGCAGATGGCAAAAAGGGAACAGTTCTTAGTGGAGGAATATATTTCCTCTGTGCCTTCTGTTCCTTATCTAAGCACCCTGCCAGTCTCCAGGATTTCACAGACAAAATGTTATGGACAGTGCACTGCTCTTCCTTTAAAAAAAAAATTGATGCCAGATGCCTGTATGATCAGGCAAGTATATAACGCCATCACTGCCTCCTTTTGCAGGAGAGATGCCACCCTCTTCCATGTCACCAGCCATCCTCATTTCCAGCAACGGGCAGTCCAAGCTGGTGATTGGCGGCTCTGGTGGGACCCTCATCACGCCTGCTGTAGCCCTGGTGAGCGTGTCTCTTGTCTTCCACCCCTTGGAGTCTGCAGTTGGGAAAATTTCCCTATTAACTGCTCTGCACCAAACCATTTTTGACTTAAAGATGTAGCCCACCTTTCCAGTAATATTCCTTAATGATGGGTCCATATATGATGACAGCATTTTTTAAAAAAAATCACACTATATAAAAACTATATCAAGTTCTCCTTCAATAGACACCATTTTCACTAGTATTTAAACATCTGCAGGCCTTTTGTAAGGTCAGAGGGGATCACAGGTGTGTTCCATGAGCAGGACACAGCACTCCTCCCCACAAGCCTTTGGCTGCCACATAACTTGTTCATGGCCAGGAACAGGAAACAGGACCTTTGTCCAACCTGCAAGCGACGTCTCCAGGTAGCTGTCACTTTTCCATCACCACCACCAGGCAGAAAAGGGTTTGTCCAGTAAGAGAACCAAGGGCTTCTTGGCTGCCTTGCTGTTACTGCTGCCTTCAGGTGATCCTCCCCATTCCATCCCCCATCCACAAAGAATGCATGGAATCAAGATCCTTGTTTCCAGCTGTCTCCAGGAAACCTGCATGTAAAACATGAAGGAAAATAGCCCTTCCGGTTTGTTTATCTCCCAGCCACCAGCATCTGGTACTCAGAGATACTCCAGTTCTGACTGTAGGGGTTCCATTCAGCTGTTGTGACTGCTGACGGATGGGCCTCCCTCACAAAATGCCTCTAACAGCTAGGCTCGTTCAATTGCAGGTGATTGCAAACAAGCTGTGGTTCGGGTATGAGCTGGATGTCGCCATCCAGGCTTCCATTCTCTATGCTAACACGAGCAACTCAATCAAGGTTGAGCCGCACTTCGATAAGGTGAGACATTTGACCCACTTGCAGTGCTTGTCTGGAACTGTAGTGCAGTACTGGGATGGGGGGGACACTTGGAAGAGCAACACTGACATCATTTCTTGGAGGGAAGTAGACATTCTGGGCTTAATTCCCTTCCCCCTCCCCCTTCTCCTTCCCAAACCAGAGTTTTGCCAGCAGTTCTTTCCTTGGCTCCATTCTGCTGCTTCCTCAACTTAGCAGCCCAGTTTCCAGCATGCTGGCCAGTGAGCAGGAGGCCATTTCCACAGTGCACTCCAGACGTGCTTTGGCCTCCATGTAGGCGTTGACTCTCAAGCAGTTGAAGGCACACAGCCTCCGAAGAATCAAAGTAAGGTTTAGCCCTCCCCCTTGAAGGCCCACAAAATTGCAAGATGAAGGAGAGGGAGCTGATAGTTTTGTTGCTTTCCTAACTCCCCCCCCCACACACACACACACACTTCTGTATTCAAAAGTTAGTCCTTATATGCTGCTATACTCTGGGGTGACTATGAAACAGAGCCTCAAGTGGGGTAGTGAAGGACAGGCTCAGTCCCATGGCTCCTGGGATTAGGGGGCATGTTTGGTCCTATCCATAATAGTGATTCCAAGGGCACCAGGGGTGTAAACTATTCAAGCCCCCCTCGGGATTTCCTGGAGGGGGTATTGCCCCCTTTGGGATTTCCCAGCAGGGCACCCACAAACACACTCTCAGGTAGTGTGCTGAGTATCCAGTATGTGAGTGGCATAGTTGTTAAGAGTATTGGTCTAAGACTGGGGAGACCAGAGTTCAAACCCTCACCTAGCCACGAAGCACACCATGTGACCTTGAGCCAGTCGCACACTCAGCTAAGTGGTGAGGAAAAGAGAGAGGGGAAGGAAGTATTTCCTTTCATACACAAAAATGAAATGTTTACTCAAATTGTCTCAGTGAAGTTCATGACACCTTTCCTCTCCTCTTACAGAGTCCCCTTTCTTTGACTGAGATTCAGAATATTGCGAGGGGGGGAATTTAAACCACATGATTAATTGTAGATGGCATATATTTTTAAAAAATATAAATAATTTCATATTGAAATAATTTACTATAGATAACTGTGGGCCAGGACCAGGTCCAGCCCTGTGCCCTCACCCCCAGAAATTCAGAAGCCTACACCCCTGAAGGGCACCCCCTATAAAAGTGCCTAGCTGCCATTCTTTTCTCTGAAGAACATTAAAGCACTGCAGTGTTGTTGTGAGAACAAAACCTACCTTCTTTTCTGCCCCGCTTCCAACAGTGGGGGGCCCTCTCTGACAGGCTCCCACACAGACCCTGGCCTTTGGGGTCTTTGCAGTAAACAAGCTCTCTCTCCAAACATACATCCTTCACAGTAACTAGTCCTACAAATAAAGCAGAAATTGAGTATTGAGTATCCTTTGGTGGTTTCCCCACTGTGCAACTCAGTGCTGGAATAAATTTAAATTCAGTAAACTAAAACCTTTGAAATAAAATAAGTCCCAACAAAATGGCACATTAGATGGCTCTTGTAAGGGACAGGGTGAGCATGATGAAGGGACAACTGTGATGTGAGGATCCGAGCACTGGATTAGAACCAGAGAGGTCTGGGTTCAGATCCTTGCTTGCCCTGAAAACTAGTGGGCGACCTTAGGCCGTTCCTTTTCTCTCAGCCTAGCCCACCTCAAAGGATTATTATGATGATAAAATGGAGGAGGCGATAACCACGTATGCCACTCTGAGCTCCCGAGGAGGATGGGATAAAAATGCATAGAAAAAAATGCTTCTGTGCTCTCACACAACTCCCGTTCACTTTAGCGCAGGGGTCTACTTAGCTACATGTGCCTGGTGTCTCATGTTTTCCTGACCCTGTTTCTGTTGTGAAGGGTGCCCCAAATCCACCTCCTATGATGACTCCCTTCTTGCCTGATGTCAAGGGTGATTGTGTGACAATTGTTCCCAAAATAGCTGCATCTGAATCCATACCCCTGGCTGGAACAGGTCTAACTGGCCTTCTGCTTCTTCTCTTACAGGACGTCCTAAAGACACTGCAAGAAAAGGGACACCAAATCGTTGTTGACAGGAGGACACTAAATGTGGTGCAAGGAATTTCCAAGGAGGGCCCCTGCACTTTTGCTTACTCTGACCTGAGGAAGCAAGGGGAAGCATCAGGCTATTAGCCCTGCCAGGGCAAAGGGACTGTGGAGAAACTGGACTTTTTACTATGTATTCAGGGAGAAGCTGCAGCTTTGACAACTGTGTCCAGCACAGAGTCAAACGGACATCCTAGCAGGGAGCCCTGCTTTTTTACACCTTTTTTTCAGCAAGCTGAAACAATGAAAAAACTTATTATAGGCACAGAGATATATATTTTGGTGGACAAGGGCAGCTGTTTAGATACAATGGACAGAGCCGCATGTAAACCTTCTGCCACACTTCTCTGTTGGGAGGAGAGAGAACAACAGCTGGATTCTTTTCCCTTTCTTGCACACTTTGGATGTTCTCCTCTGCCAGTGTAGGGGGACTGCGTAAATGTAGCTTTTACTGCAATATTGCAAGGGGGGGGAGCAAGTTCTGAGCCAATTAATTTGTTTTGCTGACTGAATGTTCCTATGCCAAATGGAGGGCAGACCCTTATGTAGGACTTGCTGCCATGCACTTCAGAAGGGGAGGGTGCAGTACTAACCAAGCTGAGCCATACCTTACTCTGCACCTCAGCATTGCTAGTAGTCCGGTCACAGTCCTAAAGGTGTTTTTTCAGTGTTGTAGAGGCTCCTTCCAGT